GGGGAGGGCGGCGAGCCCGGCTGTGGCCCCGCGCTCCCCGGCGGCCGGAGCGCCCCGCCGCCCCCCTCCAGGTGCCACCCCAAGCACCAGCTTGGGTGCCTGGTGCCTGGAGCCGGCCCTGGTTACTGCCACAAATATTAACCTGATACCAAAACTTTATGCATTTAGGCTCAATTTTCAAAAGTGGCCTCTACTTTTGGGTCCCTTAATTTTTGCTTTGCACAGTTTGAATCTCCACAAACTCCACTTTCAGCAATGTTGAGAACTATAGTTCCATGGCTTCACCTGGACTAGTGGATGCTCAGCGCCTCTAAAATCCAGGGTCGAGATGTCTCAAACTGGGCACCCAAAAATCAGTGGCCACTTTTGAAAATGTTGTCAATACAGCATAGAAAGAGATTTTTAAAATATAACCAAAACTCTTTACCTGGAGTATTAGCAGCATCTGAATAATTGAAGGTGGAACCCTGGCTCTGGAACGCGACAGGGCATCTTCTAATTTAATATTGAGGGTTATAATGTTCCGAAAGTGCAGGAGAGCCAGCTGACGAACAGAGGGCTCCTTCCCCTATGAACAGAATCACCACAATAAGGATGATGAGCCATTTGAAAATAACTGTCAGAATCCCAAGTATAAGTGCTTTTCTTAAATCTTTACGAGTAGTAGGAATGGTAAATTCAATGCAAATTCAAAGGAAATATTTGGGATGGTCAAAAAACAAACCAATTTGTAGATCCATAATCTTTGTGTGGACTCACACGATACTTTTGTATGACTTGTCTATCATTGCCATGGACTGGATTATTTAGTCTGTAATCCACAAATCAGTTCAAGACCCTCTTTAAGAGGGAGCAGGGCCAGTGTGCTAGAGCCTTATCAGCACACTCCAGTTTGGTCAATTAATTGGGTTTACAAGAGGGTACTTCTTGGTATTAGGGGAGGAGAGACCTGGTGAGTCAGGGCATGGGTCAGTCAGGGGAATGATAGGAGGTGAGAGCTGCCAGAGCCAGGAGACTTTATGTGGTGCCTGGGAGAAGGCTGAAGGCAGGAGAGCAGCAAGACGGGTTTGCTGACTGGTGTCCCCAAGCCAGAGCACCGGGGCTGGAGAGGGCTGAAGGTCAAAGAGCAGCAAAGGCAGTTGCCCGCTGGCTCTAAACCAGACCGCCAGAGCCGAGGGCCAAAGAAGGCTGAAGGCAGAGGAGCTACAGGGGAGCTTATCCGCTGACTTCTGCAAAGCCAGAGAGCTGGACCCGGAGGAACAGTGAGGGGGCAGAGGGAATGAGGGATGCTCCCAGGACAGAGGCTGTGGGGGTTCCCTCAGGGAAGAGCTGGGTTGCACTTCAGCTAGAAGGGCTGGAGTGACTGTCCAGGGTCAGAGGGACAGACAAGGACTGTCAGAGAATCCAGGCGTGGCCAAAGGACAGTGGGGGAAACTGAGGCAAAAGTTGTTGCAGCACGACATCCAGCCAGGAAGAAGTGTGTTAGTGGTAACTTTGCCACATCTGGATACGCATGTAATTGGGGATCTTTCCTGAATTTACACCCTGTAAGAATATTTTGGAACCCTAAATATAGTAGTATAAAGTTTTAAGAGTATTTTAACAAGGGCAACGTTTGAATTTCTGTTTATTTCCCCTGATTTGGGTGCCGGGTGGGAATTCACACTTTGTCTAGGTTTGGGACTTCCCAGCCCTGCCCACCGGTGGCTCCCCCTCTCTTTAAAATTCAGGGAACCCTCAGTACAGTGGCAGAGCTAATGGAGAGGGGGCGACCAGACCCCTGGTGGCCTTTAGGTTTGTGTGTGGCACCTTTTCAAGCCAATAGGTATAACTGCAGGTGGGTACCACCAAAGGTCCTTCGGCCCCCTGGTTCCGCCACTGCTCAAAACCTGCCTGTACTACTGTCTCAGCGTACAAAGCAGAAGCAGAGCTGATGCTTCACATCATGATTTTGTGCAACTACTTTTTCTCCAGGGAAGACCGCATCTCGCTAAAGACAGCTCCTGCCCAAAGAACGTGTTTCTAGCAGCAATAGCAGCCTCTGGCTTTGTCTGTACTAGGGATTAGCCCCCATTTCCTTGTCTACACTAGGGTTTGCACTACTGTAGTTAGTTCAGTTGGTGACATAAGGGCTCATCCCTAGGACATACAAGTCCTCAGATACACATTCAGATTCCTCTGAAAATCCCAGTCACAAGTCCCACAGAAAGAGAATGGGACTTGCGTTCCTAACTCACCTAGGGGCAGATTTTCAAAGAAAGTTAGGCACCTAAAGATGTAAGTAGGTGCCTAGTGGGATTATCAAAAGCACCTAAGTGAGTTTGGTGCCTAACTTCCATTGATTTGAGAGGGACATAGGCAACTAATTTACCTAGCAGCTTTTGAAAATCCCACTAGGTGCCAAAATACTTTTGAAAATTCCACTCAATATTCTGATTTGTTGGTGATTGTACTGGTTTAAATGGCTACACATGGCACAAGTCAGTGGACAATGTGGCCCTGTATGCTTTAAGAATTTTTTCAGCTGTTTCCTTTACTTGCAGAAACAACATATTTATAAAGTTTCAACTTTTCCATAGAACTAGGATTTGTGCCTGCAAGTGCAAATGATCATACTGACAGCATTTAGATACCCAATTAACAGATTTATCAATTCATTGTAGATGCAAAGTTAACCCTGCAAAATAGGAGGATGTTTCTGAAAACCAGGTCCTTTTTCCCACAAGGAGGTCAAGTGCCTTAAGCATGTTTAAAATGATTTCAGGTAAAATTCTCTGCTGGTGTGAATCAGTGCAACTTCAATGAATCTGAGCCAATTTACACCAGCAAAGAAGTACACCAATAACAAAACTGGAAGTGTCTGAAAATGACAGACTACAAAATTTTCCATTGACATTTTTAACACTATACCAAATGCAGGCACTTCAGATATATCCATGCAGGAGGCCTAGCTGGAAATGTACATGCTGAAGTCAACACAGCTGTGCTTGCTTCACTGATTGCCCATCTTCATTTTACTATTCATATCCTTTTGCTCTAGTGTGAGCTGACATAAGGACTAAACATCCTCACTGCATGCAGTTCCTCTTTTCAAAGTTCCCCCTTCATGTTTTTCACAGGAGTACTTCACCATTCATGCAAATGACTTGACTCTACAGAACAGCTGCACTAACAGATTGGTCCCTCTGGAATAGTGTGACAGTTGTGACAATTTGTTGATCAACCCGTCAAACGGCCTTTTCTGGATTCTAAAGTAACAAAGTAATATTTCACCTGCACAGGATAGAAAATAGCCTGAAGCATGGGCAGGACGTCACTGAAAAAGAAATCCCAGGTTTCAGCTAAGGTATCCAGCAGCTTCTGTCCTGTAAAAACATAAGCGCTTCACTAACTTGTTTTATGTTGTGAACAGTAAGTCAGTGGCATTAGCTGAGCAACACAGGAAATGATGTAATATACTAGTTCCTGCAGAACAAAGGGGAATCACTGACGGTTATTTTAGAAGTATCTCCCCCGCCTGTACATAGTATCAGTCAGTATTTGTGTCTTTTGGATCACACAATTAAACGCGCTTACTAAATTGAGGGACTTCCGGCACAAAGCTTAGTCAGAGAGCTCCTGTACAGAATATAACAAAGCCAGACTGCCCCCGCCTCCTGCAGTAAAACTCCCTGGAGGGAACATGGGGGATTAAATCTCTGAAGCTCCCCACATGGAGATTCCACCACATTGTTCCACCCCTACCTCAGCAAAGAATAAGCTGCAGGGACGGTTTGAAAATTCCAGGATCTGTAGGAAGCAGTGCAATGCTGTCCATGTGGTCATGCTGTGTCCCAGCCTGGAGCCCCCTCTTGCATCTCAAACCCCTCATCCACACCCCCAGCCAGAGCCCTCACCCCTTCCCGCAACCCAATCCCCTGCCCAGCCTGGTGAAAATGAGGGAGTGAGCGAGGGTGGGGGAAAGCGAACGAGGGAGGGGGGATGGAGTGAGAGGGGGCGGGGTCTAGGAGAAGGGGTAGGGGTAGGGGCAGGGGCAGGGCAAGGGTATTCGGTTTTCTGCTATTAGAAAGTTGGCAACCCTAATCCTGTTGGGAATGTGTCTTTACCTTAGCTCATCTCTTATATTTTGTGGGCAGTCTGCTCAGCACAGTCTATTTTGCAAAGCAATGAATTTCAATGCAGCAACAACAGTGACTCAGAACAGCTGCTCCTCTATCTGCACAGTAAACTGCATTTTCCCAGACAGGCCTTTTACTGTGGGATGTGGAAGAATGCTTAGAATCAATTGGTGATTAGCATATTTCACACAAAAGAATTTGACTTTCATGTCCTCTGAGAACGTTTGTTTTACTGTCAAGCAAAGGCCTTTGGATTTCCTGCAGTATTTGCAGGGATAAAGGAAACTCAGCTCATGTAAAAATAGGCCCGATGTGGTCATTCTTGTATGAAACAGACACATAATATTTTCCATGGGCCCACAATATTTTTACACCACACACATTTTAATGACCTGTTTTAAGTAAACTATATATGGCATTAAATCAAATTAGCAATCTAGCCTAAGAGTTTGTTGACATTTTACACATGCAAGGTTTCTGAGTTTCATTTCAGTTACAGGAGAAGCAAGCTGCATTTCAATGTTTGTTTCTCAGTTTTGCATCTTAAATATTATTGATATTTGATATCAATCTAATATCAACTTTTTAAAAAATTACCTGTACAGTGTGATTTTAAAAATTGACTGGTTTCTCCTTTTGATTTACCAATTTGAGACTGAAAAATCTGATTTATAATTTGCAAGAAAGCTGTGAAAACTTTGAAATCCTTACAGTCCAGTTGTCTGTGATTTTGTAGGTGTTATGTTAAATAATTAAAGCACTCTATGTTCAGCTCTAGAGGAGTTTGAGGAATGTATGTCAAATACGTTTTCTGTTTGCTGTGGTCAGGGGAATTGTCTTTTCATTAACAGATTTGAGTTGAATAACAGTCTTGATCCAATCAAATAAGCAGACAGCAATGAAAGATCACATTTAAAATTCAGAGATAGCTGTAAGTAATGCCAATGGCTTTCTCTAGGAAACTGATCAAATGGTGTATTTAGACTAAGAGGTGTTTTGACATTGTGGTGCAGTTGAAAGAAAACTGCATTTCTTTAAAACTGTCTTGGACTCCAAAAGGTTCTCAGATGTTTTATTTTATAATTTATATTCAGAAATTACTTCCCCCCCAATGAAATATAGCTTCCTCTGGGTGACACAGACAATTTAAAAATCACCTCTAACTGCTGCACAACAGCATAGGCCATGGAATGAAGAATATTGTATTCAGGTAAAATAACAGCTGGAGGCTAGGTAAGCAGAATGTATTTGACCATACTATAATTCTGCCAGTGAATTTGTGCTAGCAATTTTAAGAAGTCTTTTTTTCTTTCTGCATTCATGTAGACTCATTAAAAGACTGATTTGACAACATCTCTTTTGCAGATCTCTAGTGAATGCAAGTGAGAGAAACTAGAGTGTCTGTGTGGAGAGATAGGGCGAGATTCTACTCCTAGTTACACTGATGTAAATCTGGAGTAATTCCAGTGGACAACTGTCTTCAGTGGAGATACTCGAGATTTATACTGGTGTATAGGAGAGCAGAATCTGGCCAATACTCTGAATTTTTGTTCCTTCTCTTTGCATTTATTTACTTAATACTTGGACTGATTCTTTCAAATATAAAAGAAATTTCATTAATAGTTGCCTCAGTTAGGTGACATTTATAACCACTTTAACTGCAGACAGACAGACAAATGGAGCCATGACAACACAACGGCACAGCTTCTGACCTCATTTATACCAATGTAAACCCAGAGTAACTCTACTAAAGACAACAGAATTACTCAGGATATACCCAGGTGTAAGTGAGATCAGAGTGTGTTCCCAAGCTAATTGGGATTGCAGGGTTTACATTGTCATTTAATAAAACATTGTATTCTGTTTTCCACATCTATTTAATCTTAAACAAGTTATAACTGAATGAAAACGTAAACATCCAAACAGGAGGTTTGGTTAGTTGATGTGCTAGGCAAACATTTCTCCTTGGTGGAAGCCAATAGGAACATGAAACTGTAGGTGACACTGGAACAACCTGCTGTTATGGGACCCGATCCAAAACTCATTGAAGTCGGTGAAAGGAATCTCATTGATTTCAGTGTGCTTTAGATCCAGCACATTGAACAGCTGCAGCATTGCTGAAGTTTGAGTTACCTTCATAAAACCGGATCTTGTCCCTCAGTATTACCATGCCTTTTGTAAGCAGCTGATTCTGTAAATAAAATACACACACCTTTTATTTCTACAACTCCATATTTCTTTGAAGCCATTGTAGATTTTTTTTTTAAACAAGAAAGCTGTTTTAATGGCTGCTGTTCATTAATGAAGTTTTACTTCTATGTCCATCTTCTTGTTTAAAGCTACTAGGACACGTGTAAAATGATGATGATAATCATATTCTTAGCTCTTCCAGTGTATAGCAACTTCCATCTGGGGATATTAAAGCTTTTTACAAACATTAGCATAGGCCATACAACATTTAATCAGCAAGGGAGGTAGTAAATTGTATTTTAACAGTAAGATCATGTATAATTATTAATAAATGGCTTCCTGATTAATTATAGCAGAAGAGACTTGAGGAATCCCACACAATTTTCACCTAAATTAAATATTTGGACCCTATTGAGAAGGATTCGTTTAATAAAAATCTGTATTATGCTGAGATTTATAATATTAGATGTGGGCTTTCACTATAAAATGAAATATTAAAACCAAATCTCATCGGTCAATAAATGCTCATAACAGGACCTGATCCAAAACCACTGAAGTCAATAGGAGTCTTTCCACAGACTTTAGAGGGCTTCGAATCAGGATAATAAATCACGTCAGAATACTGGAACAAATAGTATTTATAGGAATCCCACTGTCACAGTTAAGGGCAAATATTGTCCATTCTGTAGCCATGATCTGAACCCTTCCTTTATAAGTGACTCCAATAAAGTTCCTTAATAGTGTCCTTAAAATACATGTGGTACAAAGACCTCTGGTCAAATATTTCAATATCTGACCTGATATGAAATTTCAACCAATGTGACATTGATGGAAGGGGAACAAATCCTATTTTTATCCTTAACTTTAAGGTAATAGAAAGGTAAATGTGTGACGGTGTACCCCATAAGGCTTCATGGGAATATGCTTATGAATGTATATATGATATAACTGGAATATGTTTTATGCTACATATGCCATGTAACATATCGATGTAAAGGTTATGATCTACTAAATACAGTCCTCCTATTTGTATGCATGTATCATTTTTGTACTTGAAGTTAGGAATATTGGCTGTATACTTGCTTGATTTCTAAGTAGCCTTTGTAAAGCATTTGGTCAGCTTCTTGAGAAAGGAATGTGCAAATTAAGTGCCCAATCACGAAGCACTTAAGGGACAATGGATCTTGGGAGGCTCCAATCCACATAAGAAGTCAAAATGAGGACGTTCAAGGGAGCAGGTAAGCAATGGCTGCTGCCTGTAAAAACTGAGTCATGCATGGACATGTGACTTGCCCACGTGACTCCAAAACTCCATCTCGGAGCTGGACTTTTCATAGGAGAGAGGAGGGGGCCTCCACCCACAAGAGAAAGTCTATTTAAGCCTGTGGGAGACCCCTCCATTTTGTCTTCAGCTGGCTCAAGAGATAGCCTCTCCAGCCCCAAGGATACCTGAAAGAAACTGGAACAAAGGACAGTAACTCTAGGGGATGTGAGTTATTGCTGGACCCAGACTAGAAGGAGACTAGTCTGTAAAAGGAAGCTTACTGGGTGAGGTTTTAATCTGTATTCAGTTTTCTTAGACATAGACTCACGTGTTCTATTTTATTTTGCTTGGTAATTCACTTTGTTCTGTCTGCTATTACTTGGAACCACTTAAATCCTACTTTCTGTATTTAATAAAATCACTTTTTGCTTATTAATTAACCCAGAGTATGTATTAATACGGGGGGGGTGCAAAGAGCTGTGCATATCTCTCAATCAGTGTTATCGAGGGCGAACAATTTATGAGTTTACCCTGCATAAGCTTTATACACGGTAAAACGGATTTATTTGGGGTTTGGACCCCAATAGGAGTTGGACATCTGAGTGTTAAAGACAGGAACACTTCTTAAATTGCTTTCAGTTAAGTCTGCAACTTTGGGGCACGTGGTTCAGACCCTGGGTCTGTGTTGAAGCAGACTGACGTGTCTGGCTCAACAAGACAGGGTGCTGGAGTCCCAAGCTGGATGGGAAAGCAGGGGCAGAAGTAGTCTTGGCACATCAGTTGGCAGTTCCCAAGGGGATTTCTGTGATCCAACCCATCACAAAAGGATTTGCCTACTGCTTGTTCAGCCAAACAATTTTACTCAGCAGCACTGACAAATGTAAGAAGCTAAATGAAAAACGAAAACCCCACAAACCTGCAGGTATTCAGTAAAAAAGGATCCCAGCTCAGTTTTCAGTAGTTGCCTGTATTAGGGAATAGAGAATAAAAAAAGAATTTTTACAATCAACAAATTGTACCCAATGTGCATTGTGTATAAGAAAGGAAGATTGCTGATCTTACGAAGTGTTTTAAGTTGCATCTTTCCTTCTAAAAATGTTTAACCAGAAGCATATTAAACAGGGATAACACACTATAATAAACCCTTAAACCAACATCTCTAAATGCTCAGAAATATTTATTGTAGGAGATTTAGACCTGTTAATGACTATAGTTATGGTACAAATACACAAGTGATTTTCTTAACTAAAAGAAGAGAGGCTGAATTCTGCCTTCAGCTGCATTGGTATAAATTTGGTATCACACCACTGAAGTCACTTGAGTTACTTTGTATTTACGCCTAATTAACTGAGACCAGAATTTCACTTCACTTGCACTTCAGAAGTGGAAGAATATGAAAAATCTTAGCATTCTATGCTGGTATGTGGCTCTGAGCAATCTGGCGGATTTCGAAATGATGTAATTCCAAAGGAATGAGAGTTTGGCTTGCTTTAATGAGGTGCGGTCTGAGTTTTTAGAGCTCTGGACTGCAGGTTTGGGCCCTAAGTGACTTTAATAACAGAGTTGTGCCAAGTGTTCATAAAGAAACCTGAAACCCCAGTGAAACTCTCTGGGTTTTGTGACAAGTTTGACACTAAGCCAAGTGTCATGAACATCCAGAATGAATCTGGGCCAGTTAAATTAAAACTCCAAGTTTCACACGGCTTCAGTGCAAAATCAGGTTAAAATGCAGCATATCACTCCTTCAAATGAGAGCCTCTAAGCCAAACTGTGGGAGTGCAAACCTACACAAAATACAATTCCCATAAACCACCGTCAAACGAAACAACTGAATCCCACCAGCTCTAATGCCAGAACCAATGTATTCAAGGTGAAATTCGCCCGTGTAGAGAACCAGCACAAGGCCTATGCAGCAAAGTCTCACTTGATGCACGTTGGGTGCTGAACAATTTTGAGAATCTAGTCACAGCTGTGGTTGCTGAACACTTGAAAATCTGGCCCCATCTGACCACTGAAGGAACTCAGTACAACTGTATGTGAAATTTGGTTAAAGACCCACCTCAATTAAATATTTTGGTCCCTATTGTGGTTGTACAAGACAAGTTTCACTATATATGAATGCAGACACTTTGTTGTGTGTGGTCCCCTTTCCCTTCCCTTTGTTCCCTTCTTCTGGCCTTGAAAAATAATTATATATATTTTTTTTAAAAAGCCCTATTTCTGAAGCCCAGTAGACCATTCCCCTCTATATGCCCCTCTTCCGCCCTATCCTCCTCCCCAAAACCCCGCACAGGAGATTGAAACTTACTTGTGGAACACCACAAGATTCAGCACATTCTCCCCTGCAGTGTGCAGCAACAGCTGCCATTACGAGAAGGAGCATGTCAACATCTAGCATGGGGCCATGTGTATTACTTCTTTATTTTGATAAGAATATGCCCATCATGACCCTGGCGCACTCTGTGCAGACATGTTAGGAACGCATGAAATTAAAAAATGAAAACAAGGAGTGGGATTTTCAAGGGAGCCCAACCGGACAAAATTCAGCATGAAAAGAACTCTCCCCTAGAAACTCAACCGACTCAGACACACTCCTTCAGATAACAGTCTAGCATCGAAATGGTCAAAGCCAGCTAAGGGATTTAGTCATGCAACTCCCATTACAATTAATGGGAATGGTATGTTCAAATCCCCTAGTCGGCTTTCAAAAGCTCAACCTAGGTGAGTAGATAAACCTTGAATAGTGCTCTGAAGGTCAACAGACCCAGGATTTGTTGGATGAACATGGGAAGTGAATCCTGCAGCTGAGGACCCTTTACTGAGCACCCTCTGCCTACAACACCTTGACCTTCAAATCTAGGGGTTGTTCACAAAAATCTCAGTTCATCTCAACTGTTGAAATGGTGCATAGTGCCAGATTCTGCCTCCTGGTGAGTAGCTTACTTACCAAGCAGGCCCATTGATTTCAATGGGACATGTCATGGAATAAGGCACAACTCAGTATAAGTAAGGTTGGCTAAATCTAGTCTATAATGAAAGGGCAGTAAATTTCCACAGAGATTTTATTTCTCATATGAAAGAGACACCGCCACTCCAGACCTCGCTCCGCAATATAACCTTGGTATCACAGCTCAGAAAAAGAATATTGGAGGACATTGTTATATGGCAATCTCTTGCTTTATTTCCACTTTCCCTTCAAGTTATTGGCTCTTCAAACTCCAGTCCCAACTTCCTTGTTGACTCTATTAGGTGGTTTGTAAATAGCTAATACATAGATGGCTTCATACCGTCATTAGATGTGATGGCTAATTACTGGAGTTCCAAATGTTGATTATAAAATGGCATTCTCTTGATTATAAAACTAACCCTAAGCTCTGATGAACTAAAATCTTGGTACTTAGTAGTTCAAATAAGAAAGAAATAAAGCTAAAAAGTACACAACCTGCATTTACATGAGCAGCGAAATGCAGCATACCAAGCAGCATTATGGATGTATTAGCATCTCTGCTTACAGGGTAGAGGCAGAACTGACAGCACTGGGTGCTTTCTCCCCTTTGAATCTCTAACAATACAGGTCCTTTATTGCTGACTTCAATTATCAACGAAATGCTGAGGTCATTGAGAAGCGTTAGAACATCAGTGTTTGATGTCCTCAGTACCTATGCTTACTAATAAATGATCCAAAGCAGAACCGAACCCAACCAAATTGTTTGCAAAAATATATTTCTTTTCTTTTCTTTAACAAAATATGTTGTAGCAATCCATCAGGCCACGGGCAATGGCCAGTACTGAATAGCTATGTCTGACTACACATACTTCTGTGATGGAGTCCAGGTAAAAATGCTGGTTAAATTAAAATGAGGTTTCTGATCAGCTATGAGAACTGATTTTTAAACAGTTCTCATTTTACCAAGAGCCATTTTCCACTCGTGAGGCTTGTATCTTTTTGGCTCTAAATCTACTCTGTCTGTTTAAAGACTTTACAAATTAAGATGCTAATATAAACTCACATAAAATACACTTTTATATCTTCATGTTGCTTCTTCTTTGGTAGACTTTGAAATTAATTCATAAATGCTACTCAGAATCTAGTTCTTTATTATAGTTGACCTTTACTTTATTAGCTATTAAATTATGAAAGACGTGAAGAAAGAGATTCTTTTATCAGGTACAAAATTTTTCAACAACTGAGGAAATGCTGCTGAAATTTGCCTTGCTTGTATCCAATTAGCATCCTGAAGCTCAGAGGGGAGGCAGCTATAAATATACATCATCTTTAATACAGGATATCCTGCTTCTTCACCGTTTCCTCTTCCTTCTATTTCTTCCTTAATTTTTGAGGAGTGTAAATAATAACATCCAACTAAAGGAATGGGGAAAGAGAACTCCCGCAGGTCTCCACTGTATGGTTATTAATATCACACAGTCACAGATAAAAAAAGAGTTAAGCAGAGAGATTCTATATATAGGTTTTTGTTAAAAATTCTTTATTTTGACTTTTTTTTTTAACTTGGCTGAAAATTAAGGTGACTATAATAATTATGGGACATTACTTTAAACCTTTTCTCAGCCAAATTCCCATTGAACCAACTGATAAGGACTAAATAAAAGGAGTTCAGGATGTAAATCAATTATATTTTGGAGCTATTTCTTCCCTCCCTTAAACTTGTTTTACAACGATGTAACTCCACTAGAGTCACTCATGATTTACAATAGTGCAAGTGAAGTAAAATCAGTCCCTTTGGCCCTAAATGTAATTTACTCTCTCTTTAAGGTATCTGTACACTTCCATGGTGGTGGAAAGGAGCTTTGGTATAAATGAAGCCAGGCCCTCTATGGTTCTTTAATAGCAGTATTCAGGGTACAGAGCACTAGTGGGTTTGATTATCATTTTCTTGGAATGTATTTGCACTCATAGCTATAGCTACTTAACTTGGGGAACCATCTGCTTTATCACCCTAGCATGCATTTCATTTGTAACTCCAACAACCTTTACTTTGTGCAGCTGACCCAAAACAAAACCCCAGATCAGAAGGGGGCAAGTTTGGATCTGGGGGAAAGGGAGGGCAGTCAGACCTACCCAGTTCTTCCCATCCTATTCAGCAATATGGGGAGTACCAGGATGTATGAAAAAGGGGATCACGGTATGGAAAAGGTTGAGAACCAAGGGTTACAACGTGGGACTGGGGATCAGGAGACCTGGATTCTAGTTCTAGTTCTGCTAATGACTTGCTACATAGTCTGCCAAGACTGCCAACCCAGAGACCAATCAGTGTCAAATGTAATGGTGACTTTGGCAAGGGAAAAACTGCAAATCACGGAGAACAGACATTTTACATACTGAGCTAAAAGGAAAATATTTCCATGTTGGTATGAAAGATCGAATGTTGCAAAGATATATCTTATTCAAATCGTATTAATCACAAGCCCTAATGCTGCACACATGGGTTTGGGAGTCAACAGGAAGATGCACAAAAGTTGTAGGTGTAACTTATTTCCCCACATATTAATATTTGTGTTATGATGCTACTCAATTCTTTTCATGATTTAAGTACAATAATTGCCAGTAGAAACTGCATACTTTATAGTTGGAAAATAACTTCTCTTATTATCTTGTAACTGTGAAGAAAATACAGCATCTGAGGTGAAATTTTCCAGGCTCGGTCTTTGCCTAAAGGTAACATTTTTTGTGGGGGGAAAAATGCAGTGATGTCTGAGGTTGTGAGAGGGTGATTACATTTGTCCCACTTCAGAATAACATTAATTTCAATTTTTGGACACAGCTACAGCAATAATGTCTGAATGACCTTTGAACCGAGGCATGCAAATAGTCCTCATTGTGCTTAACTAAATTTGAAAAAAGAAGTTCTGATTTTAAATAGCCACGAGGATTCAAAAACTGCATATTGACCATGTGCAGTAGAAAAATGTAGTTAAGTCGGAAAGTGGAGAGTTCAGAAGAGACAGTTGCTGCTACTGTGTGCACAAATGTGTTCTAATCTGCTTAAGAGACTGTCTAGCAGTTGGCGTTTGCACAAATGCTTCCTCTTGATACAGATCTTCCCGACCCCTGCACAACCCTCCAAGCCACTTATACTCCCCTCACAACAGTGTTTTTATGAAGGATCATTGGGCATATCAGGAGCTTTATAAAAAACAATTTCCGGGTAGTCACTGAAAAGGAGGATTGCTGTTAGAGGATGGTCAACCTAACCTGGAGCCTAAGAGGAAGCAAACCTCTACATAAAAGTGGAGAGGCTAGCTGGGTTTTAGCCCAACCATGGCTTTTTAATCTGTTCATGTTTTCTGACAAGTGAACCCTGCAGGAAAGCTCTTGCTATGCAAGACTAAACTGGACTATGCTTGGTGACTCTACAGTTCCAAGGAGCAGACTCTGCATGTACACTGGATGGATGTGCAGTGAATCATTCCTTCTTTTCATCCCCCACCCTCTCCTGCAATGACTGGGCACCACCTTGCACTTATTCACACTGATGGACTGTGCGAGGATAATCCTGCTAGCCACCTTGAGGGATGCGTGCAGAGGCTGGTGCTACACCAGCCCCTCTTGCCCCAGCCAGTATACACTGCATCCTCTTACGGGGCGGCCCAATGGCCAGGCTTGCTTTGTGTTACTCCTGGAGCTCCCACTGGTGAAGGTCTCTACAAACCCGCCACACAAGTTAGTGCCTTAAAGGCATAATACAGCCTCACAAAGGAAAGGTGTACACATTTCCTGAAACCGATGATAATTTTGGACTGTGTTTTGCTGCAGCCATGGGAATAATTTCCAAATGATCAGGAGCCCTGAGGATGCTACCATAACTGGAATTTCCAACCTCTAAGCAACAGTGTGCACTGTTTTACACCCCAAGTTTTGCACTACTGATGTGTTGTTTATGACAGAAGCTTTTGGTCTAGATTTTGCAATGTGACCTCAATCAGCTCCAGTATGAATCAGCAACTGTTGTCCCCCAAGCACAGCAAAATGAATGATCAATTGAGCAAAATGTATGAAGCAGGTTTATCATTAAACTAAATAAGAAATAGCCCGGCACATTATGCAAGAGCAATCTGAAAAAAAATATATTAATAGCCAATCTGTTGTTAAAAGAAAACCGTGGACCCGATTCTGGACCCAGGTATATAGAATCATAGACTTTAAGGTCAGAAGGGACCATTATGATCATCTAGTCTGACCTCCTGCACAATGCAGGCCACAGAATCTCACCCACCCACTCCTGTATCAAACCTGTGTCTGAGCCATTGAAGTCCTCAAATCGTGGTTTAAAGACTTCAAGGTGCAGAGAATCTTCCAGCAAGTGACCCGGGCCCCACGCTGCAGAGGAAGGCGAAAAACCCCCAGGGCTTCTGCCAATCTGCCCTGGAGGAAAATTCCTTCCTGACCCCAAATATGGCGATCAGCTAAACCTTGAGCATGAGGGCAAGACTCACCAGCCAGACACCCAGGAAAGAATTCTCTGTAGTAACTGAGATCCCACCCCATCTAACATCCCATCACAAGCCATTGGGCACATTTACCGCTAGTAGTCAAAGACGAATTAATTGCCAAAATTAGGCTATCCCACTATACCATCCCCTCCATAAACTTATCAAGCTTAGTCTTGAAGCCAGATTTGCCCCCACTACTCCCTTTGGAAGGCTGTTCCAGAACTTCACTCCTCTCATGGTTAGAAACCTTCGTCTAATTTCAAGTCTAAACTTCCTGATAGCAAATTTATATCCATTTGTTCTTGTGTCCACATTGGTACTGAGCTTAAATAATTCCTCTCCCTCCCTGGTATTTATTCCTCTGATATATTTATAGAGAGCAATCATATCTCCCCTTAGCCTTCTTTTGGTTAGGCTAAACAAGCCAAGCTCTTTGAGTCTCCTTTCATAAGACAGATTTTCCATTCCTTGGATCATTCTAGTAGCCCTTCTCTGAACCTGTTCCAGTTTGAATTCATCCTTCTTAAACATGGGAGACCAGAACTGCACACAGTATTCCAGATGAGGTCTCACCAGTGCCTTGTATAACCATACTAACACCTCCTTATCTCTACTGGAAATACCTCGCCTGATGCATCCCAAGACCGTATTAGCTTTTTTCACGGCCATATCACATTGGCGGCTCATAGTCATCCTGTGATCAACCAATACTCCGAGGTCCTTCTCCTCCTCTGTTACTTCCAACTAATGCCTCCCCAGCTTATAACAATAGTTCTTGTTATTAATCCCTAAATGCATGACCTTGCACTTTTCACTATTAAATTTCATCCTATTACTATTACTCCAGTTTACAAGGTCATCCAGATCTTCCTGTATGATATCCCGGTCCTTCTCTGTATTGGCAATACCTCCCAGCTTTGTGTCATCTGCAAACCTTATTAGCACACTCCCACTTTTTGTGCCAAGGTCAGTAATAAAAAGATTAAATAAGATTGGTCCCAAAACCGACCCCTGAGGAACTCCACTAGTAACCTCCCTCCAGCCTGACAATTCACCTTTCAGTACGACCCATTGTAGTCTCCCCTTTAACCAGTTCCTTATCCATTTTTCAATTTTCATATTGATCCCCATCTTTTCCAATTTAGCTAATAATTCCCCATGTGGAACCGTATCAAATGCCTTACTGAAATCGAGGTAAATTAGATCCACTGCATTTTCTTTGTCTAAAAAATCTGTTAACTTCTCAAAGAAGGAGATCAGGTTGGTTTGGCATGATCTACCTTTTGTAAAACTATGTTGTATTTTGTCCCAATTACCATTGACCTCAATGTCCTTGACTACTTTTTCCTTCCAAATTTTTTCCAAGACCTTGCATACTACAGATGTCAAACTGACAGGCCTGTAGTTGCCTGGATCACTTTTTTTCCCTTTCTTAAAGATAGGAACTATGTTAGCAATTCTCCAGTCTTACGGTACAACCCCTGAGTTTACAGATTCATTAAAAATTCTTGCTAATGGGCTTGCAATTTCATGTGCCAGTTCCTTTAATATTCTTGGATGAAGATTATCTGGGCCCCCTGATTTCATCCCATTAAGCTGTTCGAGTCTGGCTTCTACCTCGGATGTGGTAATATCTACCTCCATATCCTCATCCTATTTGTCATCCTACCATTATCCTTAAGCTCCTCATTAGCCTCATTAAAGACTGAAGCAAAGTATTTGTTTAGATATTGGGCCATGCCTAGATAATCCTTAACCTCCACTCCATCCTCAAGAGTAACTCCACTAAGGTCAACGCTGTTGCTCTGGATTTATACTCTTGTTTTCTAAATGTCATCTAGACTGCTCCAGACTGGTTGAGACAGGACTATATTTGTTTCCATGACACAGGCAGGTCACTACATTTAGTTTTTCCCTCTGATGTGCAGTAAATACAGCTGACCAGGAACCAACACCTAACCAATAAGGACAGATTAATGATATTCTTTATCAGTTCCAACACAAACAACTGAAGAAAGAAGGCCTCGCTGTGGAAGTTGTCAGCAATGATTACTGGCCAACAACATCAGTTTTCTAAAAACTGTGCTGCAACATCTCTCTCTCTCTGATTGTGTTACTCACCTAACTCCTTCGTTGAGGTTGTAAAGTTCATGGTCTGGGAGCCCTTTACGTTGGAACACTGCTATTACTCCATTATGGATACTGCAAGCAGAAATTAGGAAATGAGTTATTACTCTCATACATTGGAAATGTAACCACGTCCATGATAAGCTGTACATCAGTTCCCAGAGACCTCATGGCCTAAAGTGACTAGTGATGTTTGGTATCCAACTTGAGACACTTTAAAGGGGCCTGATTTCCAGAGGCAGATGGCCATTCTGAAAATCAGGGCCCTTTAAGATGTCTTAATTTGAGCACCCAAAAACTGAGGTACCCAAAAGCTCTAGACACTTTTGAAAATGTAGGCCTATATATTTTAATCACAAGAATAAAGGCCCCATCACAGAGGAAATATATTACTATAAGTTAGGTGATGGTACACATGTATTATTGATATATTTTTTTTTAAACTATGGTTATTTGATTCCTTTACCAATAATCAGTGGTTTAAGATTAAACACAAAATGAAGTTCAGACCATAAACATAATGTCATTTCACTAGAATACATTTACTCAAGTCACAAGAATCCTTAGAGTTTTCAAAGACTTTCAGAGAAAAAAATATGGACACACCTCTCTTCTCTGATGGGTTTTTGGCTAACTTCACTGGACATCTCTCATTCATTCTTCTTAAGAAAAATAACAGTACTATGACAGAAAAGCATCAGTAACACAGACCAATTCATTGCTACTCCCTCCCCCTCCCCTTCCAAGATTTATGCTCCTGCCCTAGGTAGAGGAAAACCAGCTGAAAAAATTAGGTGATATTTAATGTTTATGAAAGTTAGCCATCAACAGAGGTAGTGATGAACCAGGTACAGGTATAATCCCTTCTCAGCACCCACTCTGAATTCCACTTGTACTTCTCTTGTACGCAAAGGCTGTATAGAGACCGTCAGTGTTGCCTGTGTTTCTGCTGTGATCAACATCAACTGCGCACAAAGCAGAAACCTCCAAATTCATTAAGCTCTGTCTAGAAGTGTGAGTACTTAACATTAATTCACACTGCTTAAGGCTGCCACCTATCATAATTTTCATGACTGCCCAAATCTGAAGGGCTGATCTGAAAATTTGCAAAACACTATGGGCCTTATCTGGCAGCTCTTACTCCCACTAGTGATGCTTAGGAATCCCACTGACTTTAAGAGGACTCCACATGTAAGGGTTACTCAGGGCAGGTCTATCCTACAGAATTACTTTGGTATAACTACATCGCTTAGGGGTGTGAAAAACTCATACCTCGGAGCAACATAGTTACACCGACCTAACCCCCGGTATAGACAGTGCTATGTCGACAGGAGTGCTTCTCCCGCCAACACAGCTACCACCTCTCATGGAGATGGATTAACTCTGCTGACGAGTCAGCTCTCTCCTGTCAGTGTTGAGCACCTTCATTAAAGTGCTACAGCAGCGCAGAGTTTTACGTGTAGACCTGCCCTCAGATGAATAAGGATCAGACTCCAATACAGTCCTGAAATACATTAAGGGTTCAGATTGAGTCTGATTCGATGAGGCGTGCAACACAATTTAAAGAATTGGTTTCTGAGGATAAAGCTGAAAAGGTAACTCAAATGTATGTCTACCCTTCGAGCTGGAGCTGTAATTTCCAGCTTGGGTAGACAAACTTGTGCTAGCTCTGATTGAGCTAGCGCACTAAAAATAGAGTGTAACCATGGCAGCACAAACAGTGGGAGGGGCTAGCCACTTGAGTACATACCTAGTGTCTCAGACAGGATTGTATGTGGGCCTCCTGTCGCTCACACCACTGCAGCTACACTTCTATTTCTAGCACACTGCTAGATCAGAGCTAGCACAAATATGCCTTCCTGAGCTGGGCATAATACCTCCAACTCAAAATGTAGATGGACTTTATATCTATCAGCTACTCCTCCTGTTGTTTTGCCACATGATTCCACAACACTTTGACACCATTTTCCCTAATAGAGTCATTCTTACTAAGGTGACCGTTTGCGCTGTCACAGAAGGCTCTCCTTATCAGTTTAACATGGAGAGAAAAGCAGCTCTTCTCTCATGAAAATATTCTGGTTAAAACAATAAACGTATGTCGGTCCAGTCTGTGGCTTTTACATCTCTGCCCCAAACAGCTTTACCCCAGGAGGAACACTAGGGAAACTGTGCCTCAGGCACACCTTCTCTTCTGGGAAATCTCTGCACAACAAGGGTGTGTGTACCATATGCTCCATCCTAGAGAGAAGATTGCTTCCCCGCCCCCAACACCCCAGCCCTGCTTTACGCATTGGTTCGGGTGAAGGGGAGTCATGGGAGGGGTGGATTATGAGACAGATTCATCCCCACCATTCCCTGTCCTCTTTTTGGGATCCTACTCCTGGGGATGGGGGAGAGCAGAAGTAAACAGTCCCTGCCCTACCTAGAGGCTGGGAAACTCAGGGAATGCTATTGTAGATAGCCTTCCTGCAGCTGCACAAGAGCAGGAGGAAGTTTCCTGCACACAGTCTGGACAGTTACATCTTCTTCCAACTATATTTGAATTTTGCCACCCAAACATGGCAGCACTGTGCTACAGCAAGAGAGCCACAAACTGGAAGTGACTCGGTTGGTTAAATTAAACTAAAGGCTGAATAAAAATGAAAGTGACGAGGTTAGTTTAATTCTCCAGATGGATACAAATGCACAATATGAACAAATAGGATTAATGGCAAAATGTTAATGAGATTATTACAATTATTTCATTTTTAATAATGAAAGTAACAAGTAAAGAATTCTCAACTGATGTAAATTGACATAGCTCCAGGGTTTTAAATTCAACTGCAACTGTCTCAGTTTATCTTTAAAAATGAAAAATACACCGAGAGTAGTCACTTCCAACCCAGACAGAAAACTATGCATATACATTAGTGTTACCCTGACAGAAACAAACATGTCTGAACAGCTTAGTTCCCTTTGCAGGGAGGAAAAAGGAAGGATTTTAGTAGCACACTTCGCCTTTCAGAAGTATTCTGGCCCAGTGGATAGGCCATTTAACTGTGAGTCACAAGAGCTGGGTTCTATTTCTGGATCTACCACTGTGTGACATTGGCTAGCTTCTGGGCCCCAGTTTCCTCATATTTAGAGTGGGGGTAATGATACTTGCCCACCTCCATAAAGTGCTTTAAGATCAGTGGATGTAAAACGCAATGTAAGAGCTGAGTATTATTATAAGAGCACATGATTATTGTGGTTATGGAACAGGCTCTTCAAAATTATCACTGTTTCACTTTTCTTCTCTCTTAACCCTACCAAGCAAAAGAGGAATTACTAACTACAAAGTGAAGCTCTTCCTGTTTGATTTTGCACCAGGCTAAAAGCCTCATAGCTCGTCTGAAAACGCAGGGCTGAATTTTCCTCCCTAAGCTGCAGAGTGCATCTCTATTCTACATGCCAAACTCCCACTGACATTTCTGCAATAGCAATAGAGACCCACAGTGGTACTAACAGATCATCACCGTGGGTCACAGAGTTGAATTTCACCCTTAGAATATCTGATGGAAAAGATTTTTAGAAAACTGAAAACAACCACACACACACCTCCACCCTGTGTTTCTGGTTTTACCACTGACTTAGCAAGCATTGTTTTTTAGAACTCTGCAGCTGATTTTCCTTCAGGTCACACTATAGTGTCTCTGGTACAATCGAAAAATGACAAGTTTCTGAGTTCTAGAATGTAAAGTTTGGACCAAATCTGCCTATCCTAAGTGTGCTAGTTTGTATTTGACAAGCTAGTAAACAAGGAGGCTCGTTGCCTTGTGAAGCAGGGCTGTATGTGGGCTATACTCATAAAGTTCCTATGAGAGAAATTCAAACATCAAAAACCCGATACAAACTAGCAGTAAAGCTCATCTGGACGCACGGGAGGCAGGTTTATATAATTTTTGGTGTTGCCCAGAACGGGTCCAAGTCCGTGTCCCTTCCTCCCTGCTACCAGCTTTAAAATTGTGCTTGGTTCCTTTACATGGTTTAAAAGGCTCCAGTGACAGCTGCTTCTGCATCAGAAAAATGAGTCATGTTTGACAGCAGATATCAAAATCGGGTTTTGGGGATTTCTTCTTTCCCCCCAAATTAGTGTAGAAAACAGTTACTCTACTGGTGTGTACTGGGCCAACAGAGTTCAACACCTGTTTTAGCAAGTGGAGAGAGATACACGTACTACTGGAGAAAGTCTAGATAATATCTCAGATGTTTTGCTCTAATGGGTAGGGCCCTACCAAATTCACAGACCATTTTGGTCAATTTCACGGTTATAGGATTTTAAAAATCATAAATGTCATGATTTCAGCTATTTAAATCTGAAATTTCACAGTGTTGTAATTATAGGGGTCCTGACCCAAAAAAGGAGTTGTGGGGGGGTTGCAAGGTTATTGTAGGGTGGGGTTGCAGTACTGCTACCCTTACTTCTGTGCTGCTGCTGGTGGCAGCACTGCCTTCAGAACTGAGCAGCTGCCTTCAGAACTGAGTGGTGGCTGCTGCCTGGGAGCCCAGCTCTGCAGACAGAGCTGTCACCAGCGGCAGCACAGCAGTAAGGATGGCATGGTATGGCATGGTATTGCCACCTTTACTTCTGTGCTGCTGCCTGCGCAGCTGGGCCCCCAGTCAGCAGCTGCCACTGTCCGGCCGCCCAGCTCTGAAAGCAGCAGTGCAGAAGTAAGGGTGGGATGGTATGGTATTGCTACCCTTACTTCTATGCTTCTGCTGGCGGGGCACTGCCTTCAGAACTGGGTGCCCGGCCAACAGCCGCCGCTCTCTGGTTGCCCAGCTGTGAAGTTAGGGTAGAAGTAAGAGTGGCAATATCAGACTCCCCCCCCCCCCCAAATAACCTTGTGACCCTTCTGCAATTCCCCTTTGGGTCAGAACCCCTAATTTGAGAAATGATGGTCTCCCCCATTAAATCTGTATAGTATGGGGTAAAAGCACACAAAAGACCAGATTTCACAGTAGGAGACCAGATTTCATGGTCTGTGATGCGTTTTTCATGGCCGTTAATTTGGTAGGGCCCTACTAATAAGTATTAAGCATGGCTGACCCTG